AGGGGTCAAGACAGTGCCTGGGAAAATTTAAGGTAACAAGGTTCGAGCCAAGGAGACTACATTAAAATTCCTTAAATCAAGAGCCCCTTGCTGGTATCAATGAACCACCCATGCAGATACACCATCATGATCCCCCCCCCCCCACACGAGAGCCTCATCAATCCAGTTGACTAATAAAAACACTACTCCTCCACTGTACACCAATGCATCAAGCAGTGCGAACATTTTTGGGGATTACCCCTTGCCTTGCTCGAAGCACGTCCCCAGAACAGCTCACTCAGAATTAACAGAGCAAGACTTTAGCAAAACCACATATTTAGACCGGGAGCACCAGAGGCACTACCAGCATTCGCCTAGTAATGGGCAAACTTAAAAGAATACAGAGGGTTGCACACCATCAATCATCACTCCTGGATGTCCAGGTGACCTTTGGTAATGTGTCCTTTGCCAGATACCCACCAGATGTACCACCCGATATAACGCCAGGTGGCTCACCCTACTGTTCAATTCTGAGGGTGTGAACCACCTCAGCACTAACTGGTGGTAGAACAAGCCGAGTAACAATGACCCCTTCCATAATTACCCGAAAACAAAATTTAATAAGAGAAAATCCTTTCTACACAAACCACATGAAGGAGATGGGGGTCCTGAGTTCTTTAGTTAGGATAAACTGCTCAAACCTATCCACCATATGATAATGACCGAGTCAGAAAGGATGAGGGGGGGGGAAGGGGGAGGGGTGAATCTTACTTTAGATGAAGGTTAGAGTTTTTGGGCTGTGTAGTTGCAATTGCGCCAATTTATTAACTTGGAAACCAGTATTTAGATTTCCCAACGTCATAATTTGTGAAGGCCTCTGACTGGCTTAAACTTTGAACGCTGATAATATATAATTTGAGAATACAGCTTCAAACTTAAAGTGGTGGTGTATTTTAGAATATTGGTCTCTGTGATAAGTAGAGAATGTCTAGTGATTGGATTGAAGCAGGAGCATCTTAGTGGAAGAGTCCAATTTATTTTGGGTTGTGAAGGGTCTAATTTTCTGTTTTTGTTCAAACTGAAATAATAGTCTCCATGCGATACGTAAATGCCTCTTCTAATTGGCTTCAAATCTTGATATTTAACTGCATTAGAAACTTGTGCCCCACCGTACTATTCCTCGAGTGTAGATTGAGGAAGTGTAGGCTGGTCTTACGAGATACGTACTGGGATACCTTTATTGATTGCACAGACAGAAGCGCATTAGTTCTTGTGGCGCTCTCTTTCAGTAAGTAGGCCTGGTCTGAGACTGGGTCGCGTGGCGATGATTCCCAGAACCATTAGCTGATACAACAAAACAAGTACCTTCTCTTAAGTATCACTTGACTGCAGGATGACAATAGTACTTGCATTTACATGAAACTATAGCTACAAATATAATATTACATAAACACTAACACTGGCTGCATATAGTTCTCCCGGGGTGTATTGCTATCAAAATTTATAAACGTGGTCATTACTATGTCAAATAACATACATTAACTTTCGTGTTTAAACTTAGGCATTAGGCTGCCTATTAAATATATGAAAAGTTCTATCTAGATGAAAATGATGAAATGCGAATATAAATGTAGTCTTATTAAATATTTGTTACCCTTATTGTCAGTGAACAACCTATGTAGCATAACGAATTGCCGATATACTGACCTACCAAAAGTCTTTTAGGCCGAATGTAGAACGCTAATGAAGTTCGAAGAAAAAAAGAGTAAAAAAAAAAAAAAGGGTCAGTGTGCTTAACTGAACTTGGCCAGTAAGGATGCAATTCACCTGAACATTACTTAATATCTAAAATATGGATTAAACCTACATCGCGAACATATACAGGGATGGTATAGAAAGACACGTGAGCAAACAGTAGGACTTTTATTAGAAAACCTTTCAGTCCTGGGACCTTGATCACTTAACATGCAGAGGTTTTAAAAAGACAGTATATATAGGCGGAGAGTGAGGTGTGAGTGACGCATGGTGACCTGAAGAATGCCACTGGGATGAGGACAGTAGACAATGTGATCCTGTCCTTATCACACTGTCATTCACACTTCACTCTCCTCCTATACGTCTTTCGAACCTCTATGTTAAAAGTGATCAAGGTCTCAGGACCGAAACGTTTTCTAACAAGTATAACCTGCTTGTTTACATGTCTATTACGAAGGTTTATACCATATACAGGGATACATTTCTCAGTACCATAATAATAATCCTAGGTTTAGGCTAAGGTAACAACTCGACCTAGGGTACAATGTTTCCACAAACGGGTGGAACAATGAACATGTTATAGGTGGCAAGTGCTACAATCATCCGCGATTTTTTATTAAAAAAACACCCAAGATATATTAAATATACAAGGAGAGACCATGAATACAGCTGCCTCTATTAATGTAGTTCCATATAGGTTATTACTTTGAAATGAACAGCTCGATATAATGAATTAGCCTAAGGCAGTGGTCCTCAACCTTCCTACACAAGTGGGCCACATTTGATGGTCAAATGTGTGATGAGGGCCGCATGTCTTTGCTGACACTGCAGTGTGGAACCTACATATAAGTGAATTTATAATTTCATGGGAGGGTCCCATCCATTACCTAGAAGGGCCGCAGGTTGGGAGACCCTTGGTCTAAAGTATATATTTAACAAAGGTTATATTGATGAAGAGCAACATTATGATCAAGAAAGAAACGCTAAAACCATTGTGTTGTGCAGCGAACAGGAAAAAGAAACTCAAAAGCCCCTCACCGGTATAGGTACCTACCTCTCTCGACAGGCAGCAACATTACACGTCTGACCAAACGGAACATTTTACTATATACCACGTGAAGCACTAAACTCGTTGGGATCAGAGTTTGTGGAATGAAAGGTAATTAATGTACTAACTTCCAGATACCCTGATTCAACTTAGGAGGTTTGTTACCAAGTTAATAAATAGAAGCAAGTATAAAACTAAATAAATTTGGTATGCAATTAATGTTGCCACGAACACATTTATTCTTAAAACTACTAACTGGTGTATTTTTCTGGGTGTCATATGTTCTCTTAAGACATTTCTGCTCTAATCACTTTACCAATGTTTTTTTTTTTCCTGGAGAGTCTAGTTGTAGAATCTTTAAAAATTAGTATACAACTAATCTCTTAAGAATAAGCTGGAAGGAAAGCATAATTTTCAAGACAGTATCTGTACTAGGCACAGTAAAGATCCGGTAAAATGCTTGTACCACATAAGGGTTTAAAAGAACTGTGACCACTGTAATAGGCCCAATGGGTAATGCTGGGCAGGTCAAATTCACTCATCCACACTACTCGTGTACACGTCTACCCTATATTTAAAGCTACCCAAAGTTTTCGCTTCAATGACGTTACCTAGAAATTTGTTCCACTCATTTACAACTATTGCCAAACCAATATTTTCCTATATCCTTTCCAAGTCTAAATTTATCCAATTTGATTCTATCGAGAGTCCTGTCCTAGTTAGCTATTTTCAGCACGGTATTTATATCCCCTTAATTCATATTTTGAGTTTGTACACTTTCAACAGTATCAAATATCAAAGGTAATGGTGCACGCACAACTTAGGCAACCTCGGTAATTTTTATATTTTTTGTAAAGCCTCTTAGATTATGCGGAACATTTCTGGTCTTCATACTACAGAATGAACGGGAGTACGCTGGAAAGCTTGGACAAGAATTACAAGTTTACTTTCCAGTAATAGAAATTTCAAAAGCAGCGAACTTACACTTCAAAATGATATGTGAAACTTAAGAATAAATGAAAAATTTATAAGTTGATGAAATGTATTAAAAATATCTAAAGACAGAATTCTCGGTAATAAATTCACGTGCAATACAATTATAAAGTACAGTTTTAGACATGAAAGCATCAGTTTATGGTATATTATGTCTTATTAACATACTTCTCGGTATATTCTACTGATATACACGTAAGCACAGGTTTGGAAGGAAGCTAATATATACAGAGCATTTGGACAAGAGGTTTTTCCAGTACTCGATAAATAGTATACACCCGGTAATGTATTCAATAATACAGCATAACACGCACATATGGAAAAAAAAACTATCAAAGTTGAAATAAATCACTGGTGTGGTTGAGTAGCGGAACAAACGCAATTATAGAGCCGGTCCTTATATGTGTGGCCATAATTTATTCCTAAACAATGTCAAATATTTGGTTGAATTTGTCATGGATCCTTTTATAGAGTATGAAAATTTAAAAAACTTATCCTAACAAAACCTAACCTAAAATAACCCAAACAAACTATCGTAAACTTACTCGGCCAGCAGTAAATAAGGGACTACGCCTTTGTGTACATTCGTTTAGTCTATTTACCTTCGTTGTGATGGACAGGAACGTCAAAACTGCTGGTTGGTCCTGACATGCTGTACTTCACAAAATGTATTATTTTTGCTATCTCCCAAAACAACTTTTACAAGAAACAATTTGTACCGGGGTATATATAGCATGCTTGTTTGTATTTTATATAAAAAAAATCTTTATTTCTCAAAATAGCAATCAAGAAAAGGCCCAAACGGCTAATTAGTACTGACAAAATATTTTGAGTTGTTTAACATAACTAACATTAACTTCATTTTTCTCAAAATTTTAACTAGTCTAAAAGCTTAGTGAAGTGTTCTCTACACAATACGCAGTGTTCTCTATTCTTAAGATAAATCGTCGATTTAAACTTCTGTATTATCCTGACCCTACTCAAAGTCGTTTAGTTAATATACAAGCATTTTAGTGGGCGGACACCATACATCATTATGCCAAACTTAAATTTTCATCAAATACATATTAACTAAAATATTGGGTTACACTAAACTACTGAAGAGAACGAAATATTTAGAAATTTCAATGAAATAAATGGCACTTAGTTGAACACAAGTAACAAACATGTACTATAAAGGATTAGTTATACGAGTAAGATGTCCTGCACGTGTTTGCCAACTTACCTTCACTCGCCACACTGCCGGTTTCACTCTCTTGGCCGTTTTCCTTATTAGCTTGTATTTTCTCTATTAACAACTCCAGCTTGGAACTGTTGCCTTTGAAGAGCATGGTACAAATACTTTAAGTTTCTTGGTAACATGCTCATCACCTCTCATGATTCCTAGCACATCACGAACACTAGTCGGGTTAACCTGAGGAGCATTAACTACACCCTCCACACTCTATGTCTCCTCGTGAACTGAAACTAAGGTGGGTCTTGCACCCATCCTTGGGGAACACAGCAGGGGAGTGGTGCAGCCTCGGGGGAGGAGCTTAGCACCCATCTCGAGCTCTGATTGGTCCCTCTGAGATATAAACTCCTCTTGATTGGCTAGAAAATAAACAAGCCAGGCTGCACTAATCGTCTCTTTATCGAGACGGCAGATAAATATTATAAGGTGCAAACTGCTTCATTATTGTGTAATTACACCTCCCACGAAGTTATTGTTACTAACTGATGATAATACACACTGATAAAATGCGAGGGTTACTGTACTTTACACTAGGTAGGTGACATAAAAAGCTCGCAAGCCGAGAGCAATAAAACTTGCAGTATATATCACATTACTGCACGAACCATCAACCTGAGTGAAGTGGAGGCGGCTTTCATCAACACGTAACTTAGCTCTCACCTGCGCCTCACTAAGCATTTTCACTGGCAAGGCTTCACTGATATTTGTTAATAGACTAGGACAAGTTGCTTACGGCTGTGGGAGTGGATCGGTATTCACCTGTCTTGCTCCTCATGATACTGGAATCACTACCACAGTTCGAGCCATTAAAAAAAAGATGTGTTCGTTTGAGATGACATATATGAACCAGCTAGGTTTATGGTTATTCTCCGGAAATGAGTTTAAAGTGTATTATAAACCAGCTGCAACGAATGAGTTGCTACCCACCCTATGTAACCCAACCTCCACCACCACCTATTATTATTTTGTTAAATGTTCAGAAGCTTTCGCAACAATGCATTTGCACTGATTATATGTGTATTCTCAGATATACCATGAAAGATGGTAATTCTCAAGGAACAGTAACTCCAGCTCTGGTTTAAAGACACTTGAGCAAACACTAAGATATCTTTATTACAAAAGGTTTCAGTCCTGGGACTTTGATCACTGACTACAAGTGATCAAGGTCCCAGAATCGAAACATTTTCTAGTATGTCCCAGTGCTGGTCTACGTGTCTCTTTAAACCATTTGTCGGTATCAATTACTAGGGTATATATCAACTCCATCTCTACTGGAACGAAACCTTTGAAGCTACTGAACCCTTAATGAAATACTTAACGATATCCTCATCTCCCAGCTCAGACTGACAAAATTCAACGCTATGTAATCCATCCTATCTGATGGAATTTGGCTGAAAAACATAGATGTTGTTTGTTTCACTGCAGCTATCATAGAACAGGGTAGCAGCACACTTGTAATGTTTCTAAATTTTCCGAAAAAAATTTCATTTCAAAATCTCATTTTCTCCCTAAGCTTTCCAACATCCCCCTCCCCCTTCAATAATCCCTACTCACTGAACGTTCCACAACCACCCTCTTCCTCTTTCATCCCTACTCGCTGAACTTTCCAACATACGTCCCCCTCAATAACCCCTACTCGTTGAGCTCTCCTTATAATGGTCACTGCCCCCTCTCTCCCCTACTCACTTGCTCTCGCCAACGCTCCTCCCTCTCCCACTATTGTTTGGCCTCTTTAACAATCTCTTCTTACTGACTTCCCACTTCTCAATACCTCTTTCTCCTTGACCTTTCAACACCCCTTTCCTTCTCCCTGATCTATATTTCTCAGTACTCCCTGACCTCCTAATAACCCCCCTTCCCAAAATTCTGACCTACCAACACCACCTCCCAGTTATTCCTTGACCTACCAACACCTCGTCCCTCCCCCAATATTCCTTGATCTACCAACACCTTTCCCCCCCCTATTCCCTGATCTACCAATACCTCCTCCCTATTCCCTGACCTACTAACACCTCCTCCCTCTCCCCTACTCCCTGACCTACCAACAACCACTCCCTCTGCCACTATTCTTTAGCCTCCTTACCGCCCCCTCCATCTTCCTTCCTACACTCCAAAATGCCAACCCCACTCTTCCTCTACTTTATGGGTTCCCTACTTTTCCCAGCTCCTCCCCTTCCTCACCGTTTCTTTTTCCCCCCACTTCCTGACCTCCCAAACACCCCCTCCTCCTTCTTCCCCTGGAGCTTAACTCTCACAAGCACAGCTATGCACACAAACACACACACACACACACACACACACACACACACACACACACACACACACACACACACACACAGGGGACGGGAAATCCTGTGTCACAAACCTACTGGAGTTCTATGACATGGTGACAGCAGTAAGACAAGAGAGAGAGGGGTGGGTGGATTGCATTTTCTTGGACTGCAAGAAGGCGTTTGACACAGTTCCACACAAGAGATTGGTGCAAAAACTGGAGGACCAAGCAGGGATAACAGGGAAGGCACTACAATGGATCAGGGAATACTTGTCAGGAAGACAGCAGCGAGTCATGGTACGTGGCGAGGTGTCAGAGTGGGCACCTGTGACCAGCGGGGTCCCGCAGGGGTCAGTCCTAGGACCAGTGCTGTTTCTGGTATTTGTGAACGACATGACGGAAGGAATAGACTCTGAGGTGTCCCTGTTTGCAGATGACGTGAAGTTGATGAGAAGAATTCACTCGATCGAAGACCAGGCAGAACTACAAAGGGATCTGGACAGGCTGCAGACCTGGTCCAGCAATTGGCTCCTGGAGTTCAATCCCACCAAGTGCAAAGTCATGAAGATTGGGGAAGGGCAAAGAAGGCCGCAGACGGAGTACAGTCTAGGGGGTCAGAGACTACAAACCTCACTCAAGGAAAAAGATCTTGGGGTGAGTATAACACCAGGCACATCTCCTGAAGCGCACATCAACCAAATAACTGCTGCAGCATATGGGCGCCTAGCAAAACCTCAGAACAGCATTCCGACATCTTAATAAGGAATTATTCAGGACCTGTACACCGTGTACGTTAGGCCCATATTGGAGTATGCGGCACCAGTTTGGAACCCACACCTAGCCAAGCACGTGAAGAAACTAGAGAAAGTGCAAAGGTTTGCAACAAGACTAGTCCCAGAGCTAAGAGGTATGTCCTACGAGGAGAGGTTAAGGGAAATCAACCTGACGACACTGGAGGACAGGAGAGATAGGGGGACATGATAACGACATACAAAATACTGAGAGGAATTGACAAGGTGGACAAAGACAGGATGTTCCAGAGATTGGACACAGTAACAAGGGGACACAGTTGGAAGCTGAAGACACAGATGAATCACAGGGATGTTAGGAAGTATTTCTTCAGCCACAGAGTAGTCAGTAAGTGGAATAGTTTGGGAAGCGATGTAGTGGACGCAGGATCCATACATAGCTTTAAGCAGAGGTATGATAAAGCTCACGGCTCAGGGAGAGTGACCTAGTAGCGATCAGTGAAGAGGCGGGGCCAGGAGCTCGGACTCGAGCCCCGCAACCTCAACTAGGTGAGTACAACTAGGTGAGTACACACACACACACACAAACGCGCGCGCGCATCTATCCAGCTAGATTAAAAACTGGATTTTTTGTGGGAAGGAGAGGTAGGAAAAGTGATAGGAACAAATTATATAAAGATCCCTCCCACTATGTATACCAAGATCCCACCTATTATGTGAGTATACTAGTATACCACACACTATGTGAGTATACTAGTATACCACCCACTATGTGAGTATACTAGTATACCACCCACTATGTCAGTATACTAGCATACCACCCACTATGTGAGTATACTAGTATACCACACACTATGTGAGTATACTAGTATACCACACACTATGTGAGTATACTAGTATACCACCCACTATGTGAGTATACTAGTATACCACCCACTATGTGAGTATACTAGTATACAACCCACTACGCAAGTATACTAGCATACAACCCACTATGTGAGTATACTAGCATACCACCAACTATGTGAGTATACTAGCATACTACCAACTATGTATGCTCGCATACCACCATGTGAGTATACTAGCATACCACCCACTATGTCAGTATACTAGCATACCACCCACAAAGTGATTATACTAGCATACCACTCACTATGTGAGTATACTAGCATACTACCCACTATATCAGTATACTAGCATACCACCCACTATGTCAGTATATTAGCAAACCACCCACTATGTCAGTATACTAGCATACCACCCACTATGTCAGTATACTATCATACCACCCACTATGTCGGTATACTAGTATGCTACCCACTATGTGAGTACACATACGTCTCACCCATTATGTGTGCACACATGCTCCCCACTCTGTGAACACATAAATATCCCACCCACTATGAGCACATGAATATCCCACCCACTCTGTGAACACATGAACGTCCCACCCACTCTGTGAGTGCATGAACATCCCACCCACTCTGTGAACACAGGAACGTCCCACCCACTCTGTGAACACATGAGCATCCCACCCACTCTGCGAACACATGAACATCCCACCCACTCAGTGAACACATGATCACACCCACTCTGTGAGCACATGAACATCCCACCCACTGTGAACACATGAACGTCTCACCCACTCTGTGAGTGCATGAACATCCCACCCACTCTGAGTAGAAGGCGGCCCCGCCCCACCCACCATAACAATGTTGACTTACAACCAAAATAACAATGTTAGCATTCACTGAGCGGGATACAGCCAGGTGTATTCCCTCAAACAAGGCTGGTTGGGCCGAGGCAGACGAGCCACAATGATGGTCATCAGGTGTGTGAACGATGCTGACTCCTTGTTTATGGGTAATCAGGTCGCCACTCCACCCCCCTCTCCCCATCCTCCTCGCCTCCAATTATTATTTTATATTTCTGCTGGTGTTCAATTCGCGTGTTCAAAATTGGCGTTGGTGGGGTAGATGTGGATGTATGTGTATGTGTGTGTGTGTGTGTGTGTGTGTGGGCTTAACGCAACCACGAATACAATGACTGATATTCATTATCACACACACCGCCACCACCTCTGACACCATCCACCTTCAAGCATCGTGCATGTCGTGAACATGTTCATTCTGCTTCTTCCAAGTAATACATGTAATAGCCTGTGTCAGTGTATTCGGTGATAGCTGTATCAGAGGGCACTGTGTAGCGTGTACTACCATCACCACACACTATCAAGGACGCATCCCTGACCACCACCTATTTCAACATTGTTTTTATATACTATCTGTCTCTAGTTGGCTGTCTGTCTCTGGCTGTCAGTCCCTCCTGCTCCTCCGTGGATCAGCAAATGAATCAAGTGACCAGAAACACCAACAATACACTTCGTTACGTTCAGATGATTGCACCTGTTTTAATCTTCTTGCTTGTAAATACAGAAGGATGCAGCCAAGAGAACCTCACTCCAGATACTCTCTCTGCCTGACATTCCAAGTGTCGTTTTCACGCGGCTAGTTTGATTAGGGTCAGTTACATTGTATTTGGTCATCCCTGAACCATAATCGGAACAATGTTTAGTGATTTCACCAGGCGTTATCAGTTCTAGATTAGCTTAATGCAAAGAAAAAATTACGAGCGGATATCTGAAACTTACGTTCAGTGGTGCCTTTGTTTCTGCTGTGGGAATGGGAGGTAAGAGACAGGTGTGGATTGCTGAGTAAGGGATACCTGA